GCTGCGCGGCTGCGGAGCCCCCGGGGCGCGGTGTGCCGCGGAGCCCCGCTGCCCCCTGCCCGGAATGCTGGTGGGGAAGGACGGGGTTTCAGCGTAAAGCGTCTGCTTTGTACAGGACAGCTGCGTGGATAACATTATATATCCTTATAAATTGTACATCTCTACAGAGAAAGGCACAGTCCTGCATATCCAGATAGGTATGTGTAATGGGATGGACGTATATCTCCATGTACACAAACAATCTGAAAAATGCTGGCTGCAACCTTTGCATGTCTTACAATGAATTCTGGCCATTTTCTGGAGAAAACAGTCCCTTTTTAGGGGGCAGAAGGGTCAGGGGAGATGGAAGGAAGAAAAAAGGGGAAATTTGCTATCAGATTTTTCACATAAGAACTTTCCAGCTAGCCCCAGTAATGCCAGCAACAAGGAAATCCAAGCTCTTCCCAAGGAAACCTTCACCATTAAGACCTAGTGAAAGAGAAGGCCTTACAAAAACAGTTGCCCATGGCAGAGCTGGGAGGCAACCCTCCTACCTCCACTGTGTGGTCTCTGCACCATGCACCCCCTGAGCTACACACCAGCAAGGCCTGTGGTGCCACGTCGTCTCACCCTGGTGCCATTACCCCAGCAAGAGTGTGTTCCTGCTCCTTCCCCACCTTCTGAGGAATTCCCTGGCTGCAGAAAGCTACTGGTGCTGGCTGTCCCATATTCAATCACCTTTCACCCCTGGCACGCACATCATTCTAGGAGAGGAATGAAGATGTCAAAAGCCATTTTGAAGTGTGCTCAAACCTGCCGCTCCCAACATGTTTCCTGTCCTGGCAGCTATCCCTCAGTGGGTAGTGATGGTCCTGATCACATGAAAGGTGCAGATAGACAATCAAGTCCTTGCAGTGTCTGCCCTGGGCTGATCCCACTCAAACTGGGATCAAACTGGGGCTGATTCACTGACAGCTGTCAAGAGTGAGCTGTGTTGAAATCACTAGGAGGGAAAAGTGAGAATGGAAAATAACAGCAGCCCTGCTGTTCTTTCTATTTAAAGGTGTCCAGCAAAGGAAAAAAACATGTTTCTCCTTTTTCATTTCACTGTCATGGGTGAAGAGATCTGAGAGGTGTCTCTGTTTTAGTTTTTACATTAGAAGCTCGAGTCTTGCCTGTTCTCTGAGACACAGTATTGAACCGGAGAGCCCTGATGGTGTGGGCTTCAGCAGAGTTTCCTAGACAGTGAAAGCCAAGATGAATCAGAGAGGTAATTTTAACCATATATTTTAAGGCTCTCTGTTAAGTGTTTGATTAACAATGCTGATGGCTACTGAACTTTAGGGAGAAATGATGTCTTAACTATTCTAGCTAATTTCTGTGTGAGCACTGGAGCAACCATAAACTGTGCTAAACACTACGCTAGGGAAATCAGAATCCTGCTATGTCGTTGAGAAAAACAGAAAGAAAATAAAGAAAAAAAAAAGAAGATAGAATTTGTTGATAAAAAAAATCAGCAGCTTGTACCACCTTGGGGAAATAATTCTAATGCCAGGAACTAGGGGGAGAATTGAAAATGTTACTGTTTGGTGAAAATGAGCCTTTTGGGGAGTTTGTAGTTGCAATGCTTTGGGAATGATTCCAAGTTTCACAGGTACTCTCATACACTGGAGCCCTTTACTTTCTCACTCCTTTTTTTTTTTTTTTTTCTCTAGATACAGACCATGGCTAAAAGGGAACTTATAGGGCAGCTAGATTTTGCCACCCTCTAAAAATAGCATTATTTCTGGTTGTTCCCACATGACAGGAGGGAGTTTTCTGAACATTCTTCTTCTCAATTATCCTGGGACGTGACCATCACATTTTTTCTTACACAGAGGGAAAGACAGATGTCAGCCACCTTCAAGGCTTGGCTCACCTCGCTGGTTTCTGGGCTCACATGTAGCATGCTGCTGATAAAGGCCCAAGGAAGGCCCTTGGCAGCACAGTCCACTCCTCCAGCTTACATTTTGATCACTTTTTAAATAGTTTAATGCTCTTGAACATGGCTGCGAGGTTCAGACGTTGAGATCCTGGTTAGATGCACCAGATAAATTGATTTCCCGGTGCTTAGATTGCGCAGATCCAACCTTGCCTATCAAAAGGAGATTTTTGACTTTGAGGGCTGGAGGCTGCAGGCTCAGCCACGTCATGGTGCTGCGGCTGCGAGGGAGCCACGTCGGCAAGGCTCCCTCTTGTGGAGAGTGTCTGCTGGCTGGAGGAGTAGTCTTCCACCCTGCGCACCCCTTTCCCTCAGCACAGCCCCCAGGCCTGCCCCAGGGATGCAGAGAAGGGGCTGCGAAGGCAAGGGCAGCGGGTGGCATTGCCTGGCCAGTCGGGAGTAGCCGACATCTTCCTGGCCCTGCGCCAATACGGCTCTGGGACACTTAGCATGGTCAATGCAGAGTGTCCAGACTGCACAGCCCATTTTAGGGAGGCCACGAAAGCCTCAGCATGGCAATCTGCTCTGCTGGAGCAGCCCCCAAATCTTTCTGGAGCAACACATGAACTGCCACGAGGCAGAGGCAGCTGGGTCCCAGGACAGGAAGAATCAGCCAAGCCATGAGCTCCTACCTACTGATGGCTGCAGCCAAGTCTCTGCTGCAGATTTCAGTCCGGTTAACTCTGTTGCTCTAGGCCTGAGACAGAAGGGGTGACTGCTGACCAGCCCAGGTGGGATTCCAGAAATTTCTAGTGTAGATACAGCAATACTGGTTAAACTGGGCTTTTCCTGCGCCAGTTTTTCTTTCTTCAGACAGGCTTTTCCCTACTTTGATGGAGAGCTGCCCAGTTGAGCCTGCAGTGGAAGTACATCCCTGGTGGAGTTCACCAACACTTCTTAGCAAAGATTCAGCAAAGATTTAGTCATCATCCCCCGGAAACTGATTCAAACCTTCTGCATCTTGTGACTACTGCCTCATGTCCTTCATAAATGTCCTTCATAAATGAGCTGATGCAATGCCAGGGGCCATGCCACTGGGCAGTGACCAGCAGTAGCCGTGCCACAGGCAGCACAGACTGGGAACTGCAGCACCTCGTTTCTTTAGAAATGCATGGTGCTAATTTAAGGCTGCTTTCAGATTCCCAAGAAGTCTCTCCCCATGGATTCATGGCCCAGCCAAGGCATCGTGATAAGGAAAAGCTCATGCAAAGCACTTTTTGTCAGAGGGTCTCAAAGTGGTTTATCAAGGTTGGAGAAACTGAGGCACAAACCAGCAGTGGGATTTATCGCAAGTCACTATCTGAGAGCAGAGCTCAAATGAGAAAGAATGGCTGCATCTCTCTCCCAGGATGTGCGAACCAGCCTGGTTTTGTTATCATGGTGCCAGTGCCAGGATGCATAAAAAATAGCAGCAAGGCTAAGCTAAAGACTTCTCATCAAAACATTTTCCTTCTGACTCTTCCCTCAAAAAAACAAACAAAAAAAGTGTTGCTTTTCCATACAGCAGTAAGTTTTGCAAGATTTCCTCTGGTGTCGACACCTTGGAAATTTTAATGACTCTCCTCAGTGACCCCCTCAAAAAGTGTGGAAAAAACCCACATACATAAAAAAGTTTGCTGTAAGGGCTTTGCCAGATTTGATTCAAGTTGTTTGTTTATCTTCTCTTACAGCTTTCCTTGTCTTCCCCTTTCTCTTTTTCTTCAATTTATCTACTGGAAGTTGCAAAAAACGAAGAGGAGAATCAAAGCAAGATGGAACAAGCTGAAAAGTGGGGAAAGAGCTGAACTCTGTCCCTTACCCCTCTGCCAGAAATAAAGAATAAAGAAATAGAATTTTTGCAGAATTTATCCTAGGATTATTTTTACATGCATCTCTTGCATTTTTTTCCTGAAGAAGTATGAAGCAATTAAAGCAATAGAGTTTTTTTTTCTAAGGATAGGAGAATCACTCCATGGGCCTTTCATCCAAAGAGAATTGCAGTGGTGGTTTTTTCTGTCGTTTCACCAACTCTCCTTTGTTCCTCCTCCTTCCCCTCAGAAAAAATCCACCCTCCAAAAGGTGTCTATCCATCCATGCAGGGTAGATGATCACCAGTGTGGTTCTTCATTGGCTGCCAGCAATTTCAGAGGTTAACGGTTCTCCAGTTTTCAATAGGGTTGACTTCTGTGCACAGTTATGTATTGCAGAGAAATGAGGTGATGGCCCAGAATGAGTTTAGGCAAGACCTGGCTCAGAAAACAGGAATTCACAGTTAATCTCTGCTTGAGAGATAGGGTGATGGCAGCTGCAGCTCCCTCAAGATTGTCAGTTATAGGAATTCAAATGTCATGGAACCAAACCCCCCAGATCATCAGGATGCCATCCTCATTTAATGTTGCTTTCTTCCCCCGTGCTTTCTTTCCACATCTGATGATCTTGTGTTATATTTTCATGCATTCTTCCTCAGCCTGGAGAGCTAGCAAAGGCCTTTCCTTTTTGAAATGGAGAGCTAAGAGATTTGTGTAACTACCAGACTCCAGAAACCGGGACTTGAAAAGTCCAATTTCATGGTGTTTACCAAAAGCAAGAATTACATTTACAAGATCTGGCATCATCTTTCTTGCTTGCTTGCTTATTTTCTATCATGTTTCCCCAGCCATTAACATCATCTGTTACTTCATAAATTCAGTGGATCCCACAGATGCCTGAAAATCCCCTGCTCCATCCTCTCCCTTAAAGCATGGCTAAGTTCACCATCTGAAATGATGGGCACCAGGGCTCTCTAGGGCGCAGCTGCTGCTAGGGAGCTCCCAGAAAAGCAGCAGTGGCCAAACCCCAGCTGCTTTCCTGTGGGAAAAGGACCAGGGGAGGGCAGAGGTGAAAGCAGAAGCTGGTGCTCACTTTGCCATCATACTCCTGCCTGCATCCAAATGCTGACCTCCCCACCGTTTGCAGCTCAGTGGGGGTTGCGAGGTTAGAAGGAGGGGACAGGGCAGCAGAAATCACTGGGGTCTTATTGCCAGGGTCAGAAGGGAAAGCAGATGTAACTCAGGTGACGAGCCATGCCTCCAGGCTGTGGCCAAAATGGCTAAAGTCACTGCAACTGGTGCTGTAATCTTATCAGCATCTAGAATTAGGCTGAGAGCAGGCTGATGGCTGGGATAGAGTGCTTATCTCTGCACTTTGTCCCATCCCTTGCTGCTTGACTCAGTGCCAGGCCCCCTGCCCATCCTCCTCCCCTCCTATTACTGCAAACACGCTTTGCTCCCGGTCTTCGGGCTGCCAGCAGCAAGAACCCAGCCGGTATTGTCTAAACACAGCGATACAATGGGTAGCATTGTTGACACTGGATTTTTGCCCTCATTAAAGATGACCTCACAGCCCACCCCTTGGCCACTTCAGCCAGCCCCTCGGGACTGTGAGGCTGTCTTTTTAGCTTGGGTAAATAAATTGGGAGGGGAGGGGGAGAAAGGGATGGAGGGGGCAAAGGAACACAGCGGTCTTTGTATTGCCTCCCTCTCTTCAGCACTGGTGCTCTCTGGTGTCTTTCTACCCACATTAGACATGGCAGGCCAGGTGCCAAGGAACCAGCATGCTAAGTGCCCATCCCCACCCTCCCTGGCCTCCCTTCTGTAAGATGCAGTTTGCCTGGTCGTCTCTGCTGTCCTCTCTCTCCTCTGGACTGTCTGCCCCTTCCTTCCCACACCTGCAACCCACACCTTCTGCCTCTTTTCTTTAGGCTGGGACCATCCTCTCAAGTATCCCCCACTGCTAGCACTGTGTAAGTGCCAAGGAGGTCTAGGGGAAATGCCACAGAGAGGTTTTCTGACCCAGCTTAGGTGGCACTCCTGCTCTGTGATGCCACCAGGTTTAGATGTTCCTAACACAGGTACACCTGCCAGCTGCACCTAGCATGGGTCTCCATCATCTGGGGAGAGAGGTGATGCTGTGGTGCTGGGAGCATAAATGCGTGGAATACAGCCCTGGGTGCAGTCACAGTCAGGAAAGGGGCAAATTCCGGCACAAGGAAAGGATGATGGCACAGCTCGGCTCAGACCCATCCCTGTGGGTGCTGTGCTACCTCAGGGCGGTTGAACATCTCCAAGTATTTAAATTGTTCCTGCTGGGGACTCTAAACACTTTTCCCCCATTCCATTAACCCCTAAAGGATTTCATTTCTTTCTGAATAGTATTCTTTTCTTAAAGGCAAGGATTATATTTAACTGCCTTTTCATAAGCATCTCTATCTTGCTCATGGTGATGAAAACACTGCCAGTGCTGTCTCTTCTATGTCAATCCTGAGGACATGTGGTCTGCATTCAAATTGCATGAGCCAGCTTACATATACCCACTAGCCAGCACATGGCAGGGGGAACGTGAAAGTGACCCAGTTTACCATGTTGCACAATTGCCATTGCAGTTAAGCCTTCCCATTGGGAGGTACATTCTGTCCCTGGAAGAGAAAGAGATAGATAGACAATTTCAAAGGCTAGAATGGGTGGTAGGAGCGCAATTCATCTATTGCTAAACCCCCAGCAGGTTCTTCTCTACTTTATCCATCCATAAGATGGTAAACCAATCTGTTCTTACAAATCTCCAGGGATAGACGCTCTCTACTATTCTGAAAGAAACCTGGTCCAGTCTCAGATGCTAATAAATTTAGAGTCTAAACTGTCTTTGCTGCAACTTTAGCAACTTGTTTGGTCTGTGACTGACATAGAAAAATAGGGTTATTATTTTCTTTACTGTGACATTTCAAACATTTGGAAGTTTTTTTCATCTCTCTTTTCAGTCTATACTAGATGAAGAAAATCTGGTTCTTTCGATTCTTTTCTGTATATCATGGTAGCTGGATCTTTTGCCATTCTTCTTGCTCCCCAGTTTCACCCACTCTCTTAGGGTGTAATGCCCAATACAGGACACAGTTCTCCAGCTGGTGCCTGCCTAGTGACAGGATGGCGACCTCTGATGCTCCTGCTCCCACAGCCAAAGCTTTGTTAGCTTATTTAGCAACCCTCTAGCACTGCTGACTTGTGTTCAGCTGCGGCTCCACAAGGCCTCCCGGACCCGGCAGCGCAGGACAGCTGTCTGGGCGCTTGCTGACTTGTCCCCTTTGCACAGCCACGTGCTCCTGCCTGTGTGGCCCCCTTCTCAGTTGGCTTTTCTTTGCCTGGAACCATGTGCCCCAGTGGCCACAAGCACTGGAAATCCCAGTCCCACCAGCACTCTCCTCCCATCCTAGCTCGGTGTCATCTTCTGCCAAACTCATTCAGTTACTGCCTACTCCATCACCTTGGTTAATAAGGACATCAGTGACCTATGTCAGAGGGCTCGTGCTGGGGACAGGAGAGGCAGACTCTCCCCAAGGAAGCAGCAAGATAAATGACTGTGATAGATCCAGCAGCACCCAGGGAAGACCCAAGTCCCTATACCTGAGGGTTTGGGACCTTTGGTGGTCCCTTCCACCAGGAAGGAAGTACAGAACAAGAAGTCTTGGCACCTCTGGAAACTGAGACAGGGACCCTCTGGGCACCAAAGAGCTACCCTAGTCCTCTCCCAGCATGTCCAGTGCTCAGCGCACCCACCCCAGGAGGCTGGAGCTGGCAAAGTCCACTTCCCATGGGAGATGCAGTTTCTCAGAGATGTGCAAGGGACAAAACATCCAGTCTCAGAGTGTTGCCACTAGGAAATTCCTAGTGTCTAGGACTGAATATCCCTGCGAGTTAGCATACATTATGTTCAACTCCTGGGAAACACAGTCCTGCAGGATCAATAGGTATTAGATAAGGCTGGGAAGTGAAGAAGGATAAGGTCCTAAAGAGCAAATCTAAGAGCTATCTTGAGTTTAAAGAGTGCCCTTAACTGGTTTCCAGAGATGATTAGCAGAGCAAAGTAGGCAGAGACAGACAAAGAAGTCTGAGGAAATAATGACATGTGGCAAACTTTCCGTGCCAGTGGTTCCAATCCCATAGCTTGCGGGGCTGACAGTATGCAGAGTTACGTCTTAGGAAAACACAGTTTATGCCATTGGAGGGTCTTACAAAGACTGTTCCCGCACAACTGCTGTTTAACTTAATTTTTCTCATCAACTTATGTGTTAGGTGGAGATTTGTTGGCTGCAGAACAATTGCATCAATGAAATCTCCAGAAATCCCCTGTAGCACAGTACTTCATAACTTTCACAAGGTCATCTCAAATACTCCCAGGTAAAGGACCAAGGAAGTAATGTCTTTCTCAAGGCTAGGTGTTTACAACCCTCATGGGATTAGATGGTTGGCTCTTGCATGCAGGCAAATCCCAGCCTTACATAGCAAAGGCAGCTCCATAAGATCAAATCGGACTGAATGAGAAAGAGAAACAGATCTGGCCTAGGGTATCAGTGATGGAAGAATAGATGTCACAGTATGTGGGCAGCATCCCTCAGCCAGCAACACCTGCACTCCACAGACACCTTCTAATCAATGCAAAGCCCCAGGGATAGGGTAGATAAATTATGCCTTCTTCACTGATAGGCAAAGAGAGGCTAATGCCTGCTTTCCAAATGGACCTTTACATTTTGGGTCCAGCTGGATTTTCAGATGTAACAATTAGTCCTTCCAGGATGCACTCAGACTTTTGCAGTCTCTGGGAGGTCTCAAAGGGCTCTGGAAGGAGAAGGTATGCTGGAGAATGATGCTATGACACAGCCTGGCTGAGGTTTAAGAAGAGATGAAAACAGGTGTGATGGTCACAGGCCTGACATAGGATTCAGGTAAGGCTTAGGTGAAATAGCAATATTGAAGACAGCAGGAGCCACAAATCAGGTGCCAAACATCTCTCAGAACTGGTACTCAGTTGTTCCAACACAAAGGATGCACATTGCTGATTTGAGCAGGGCTGCACAAAGAGAACCAGTGGCAGAACCCAGGAATGAAAGCCACTTGGGAGGAATACAGGGACGTTGCCAGAGTGTGCAGGGATGCGACAAGGAAGGCTAAGGCCCAGTTGGAATGAAATCTGGCAAGGGATGTCAAGGACAACAAGAAGGGGTTCTTCAAATACATCAATAGCAAAAGGAAGACTAGGGGAAACGTGGGCCCGCTGCTGAATGGGGGGGTGCCCTGGTGACGAAGGATACAGAGAAGGCAGAGTTATTGAATGCCGCCTTTGCTTCAGTCTTCACTGCTAAGGCCAGTCCTCAGGAATTCCAGACCCTGGAGACAAGAGAGGAAGGCTGCAGAAAGGAAGACTCTCCCTTGGTGGAGGAGGATCGGGTTAGAGATCTTTTGTCCAAACTTGACATCCATAAATCCATGGGCCCTGATGGGATGCACCCACGAGTGCTGAGGGAGCTGGCGGATGTTATCGCTAGGCCACTCTCCATCATCTTGGAAAGGTCCTGGAGATCAGGAGAGGTGCCTGAGGACTGGAAGAAAGCCAATGTCACGCCAGTCTTCCAAAAGGGCAAGAAGGAGGAGCCAGGAAACTACAGGCCTGTCAGCCTCACCTCCCTCCCTGGAAAGGTGATGGAACAGCTCCTCCTGGAGGTCCTCACTAAGCATCTGGAAGACAAGAAGGTGATCAGGAGTGGTCAGCATGGATTCACCCAAGGGAAATCATGCTTGACCAATCTGATAGCCTTCTATGATGGGGTGACTGGCTGGGGAGATGAGGGGAGAGCAGTGGATGTTGTCTACCTGGACTTCAGCAAGGCTTTGGACTCTGTCTCCCATCACATCCTCCTAGGTAAGCTCAGGAGGTGTGGGCTAGACGAGTGGACAGTGAGGTGGATGGAGAACTGGCTGGATGGCCGAGCTCGGAGGGTTGTGGTGAATGGCGCAGAGTCAAGTTGGAGGCCTGTGGCTAGCGGTGTCCCCCAGGGGTCAGTCCTGGGTCCAGTCTTGTTCAATATATTCATCAATGACCTGGAGGAAGGGACGGAGAGCACCCTCAGCAAGTTGGCTGATGATACTAAACTGGGGGGAGAGGCTAACACACCAGAAGACTGTGCTGCCATTCAGAGGGGCCTGGACAGGCTGGAGAGCTGGGCGGAGAGGAACCTCATGAAGTTCAACAAAGGCAAGTACAAGGTCCTGCACCTAGGCAGGAATAATCCCATGCACCAGTACAGGCTGGGGGTTGACCTGCTGGAAAGTAGCTCTGCAGAGAAGGACCTGGGAGTCCTGGCGGACAACAAGTTAAACACGAGCCAGCAGTGTGCCCTTGTGGCCAAGAAGGCCAATGGTCTCCTGGGGTGCATGAGGCAGAGTGTTGCCAGCAGGTCGAGGGAGGTGATCCTGCCCCTCTATTCAGCCCTGGTGAGGTCTCACCTGGAGTACTGTGTCCAGTGCTGGGCTCCCCAGTACAAGAGAGACATGGCACTCCAGGAGAGAGTCCAGCGGAGGGCTACCAAGATGATTAGAGGGCTGGAGCACCTCTCCTCTGAAGAAAGACTGCAAGAGCTGGGCCTGTTCAGCCTGGAGAAGAGAAGATTGAGAGGCGATCTCATCAACGTGTACAAGTATCTGAAGGGGGAGTGTCGAGAGGATGAGGCCAGCCTCTTCTCCGTGGTGCCCAGCAACAGGACAAGAGGCAACGGGCAGAAACTGAACCACAGGAAGTTCCATCTGAACCTGAGAAAAAACTTCTTCACTGTGAGGGTGACAGAGCATTGGAACAGGTTGCCCAGAGAGGTGGTGGAGTCTCCTTCCCTGGAGATATCCAAAACCCGTCTGGATGTGATCCTGGGCAATATGCTCTAGAGGTCCCTGCTTGAGCAGGGAGGTGGGACTAGATGATCTCCAGAGGTCCCTTCCAACCTAAACGATTCTGTGATTCTGTGATTTCCCAAAACCTCTGCAACCATCTTCATCTAGATAAAACTAGGAGAGAAAGAACAGCTGTGACAATGTCATGTTACTCTGTAACAAAAAACACAGTGAAGATAGCAGCTCTGCTGCTTTGCTCTTACCCGTGAATCCTGACAAGCTTTCTGATAGATTAGATGTGGTATGCAGTCTCCACATTGGCTGCTGGAACTTTCTTTTCTTAAAGACTCGTGGATAAGGTGCTGAACATTCAGCAAGCTTATATATATGCCAGCACTCAAAGAAGCTGTGATTTCTACAACTTCATAGGTAGAACACTTATACAAGTAAGAGAAAATATCAGAGTTCTTCATGGCAGGAGGTTTTAACAGCCAGACAGGTATTTAGCCTTTTAAGAATCCTGCTAACACAGAATATTTGAGAATACCTTCAAGGAAAAAAGTATACGCAAAGTAAGAGGCTTGGCAAAATGCACTGTCCTTATCAACTAGAGAAAGTTGAAGGCATTTCTGTTCCCAAGGGGGTATTTCTTGCAGCTTATACCTGGATTCTCTATAAATATGACCCCCTCAAACACAAGTCTGATGGAGCAAAATATATGCCTTCCACAACATGTAGAATGCATGTTGTGTGAATGCATGGGGTA